GCATGCCGTTATCCGTCGTCATGTGATTATCATCTCTTTCAAGTGGCAGGAAAAGAAGGATGTCCTTCCATTGATCTTCAATTTGATATAATAAAATACTTCACCAGCTTTATTATAAACTGAAAACTGTTGATTATATAAAACTTTAGGTCGAAGCCGTATTAATTCGTGGTCAAACTCATAAACGAGATATCACTAAAATATATATAAATATAATATTTACTGGACTTCAGAGAAGATAGTATAGGAAGGATTAGGTATTACACAATTCAACACAAGTAAAGATATTAAAATTTAGCGGTCTGAATTTAATCAGGTGGTCACCAATACCTCAAAACATAAGTCATCTCTATCGTTTGTAATTGGTATACATGGATATTGGCATTTATTACCAAAGAGTCAACATGGTCGTGTAGCGACACCCTCAGAAACATACTGAAAAAAAAATTCCCCTCTCCCCTTTAGACATGTCGAACTAGAGTGTCCACGCACCAAAAGTTGACGCCGCTAATGTTCATAATTCACAGGGAAAATCAGAAGAATTAAAGTGTATTTTGAAAGGAAAATGTGAATGAAGGATTGAAATGACAATAATTTGAATTTTTTTAGCACAAGAAACTGTTTTACAGTCATCAGAGTCGCAAATGTCACAAATTTTTCACAATTTACATGTTATTCAAACCTTAATTGACGACAAACTTTCTTCAATTTAAACGAATAACGTGCTATGGTTGATGATTGTCAAGTTGAACATTGATTTAGAGTGAGAAAGTGGGGTCTAGAATGGAAAAATCAATGTTTAAGCAGATTTAAACCTTGTTTCTTAGTCTTAAAGAGCAATCAAAATGTCTATTTTACGGTTCAAGTGTCTCAACCAAGTCAAATAGTGTCCAAAACATATTGAGTGACTGACAGGAAAAGTAACACTTGCGTAACAGTCTGATACCAAAAACTGACTGAAGGTGTGCCCACACTATATAAGTACCGAACGCAACTCATAACTGAGTTGTATGAGAGTTGCGTTCTAACTATTGACCACTATTCTTTGCAACCTTAAGCAACCGTTGATCACTATGGTGTGAAGGTACTTCTATAGACGATATTGACACACGTTTTAGATATTGCCTGGAATTGCAGATGACTTCTGTCATCTGAGGTTTATTTCCATCTATTTTAAGTAACCGCAATCGATGTCATTCGCTTCCTACAAATAATGGTCGTGGTTTCTCTTCTCGGTCGATGTGTAAAAATCTTGCGACTTTGAAAAAGTCATCTTTCCTTACCATTCAATTCAATTCGGGGTTACCCATCCCGACCCCACCCCCACTCATGTAGATACAGGCCTGTTTCTATTTACTACAACGACTACAGGGCACTACGACCACGATCGTAGATTAAAACGTCTTAAGATTTTGACATGCACTAGAGTGGCATGATCTTCTATCTCTCAATTGTAAACAACAAGATATACTTTACTTGTCATCTTGTAACAACTAATCCTTGTTTATCGTCATATACTCTTGGAATTTATTTCTTCTAATGATTTGTTATTTTGAAATTTTATCATGCATAGACATTACACACCGGCAACTGTCATTGTGCGGGAGGGGAAAAGAGGGGAGGAGTAGATTTGGGGGGTGGGGAGGGGTTGGGTGATGTGAAGTGGGCGAGGGAGGGAGGGGGGTATACCACCACTATGATTTCTGATTAAATTGTGTGTTTTTATTCCAAATAATGTTATATTATACATATAATCGTATTGTTATTACTTGTTGATAAGGCCTACTTGGTTTGGTCATTATTAAAAAAAACACACATGAAAACGCCCCCTTTCTAGTTTTGACTGAAATGTAAAACGTCGCACCTTGCCCCAGTGTGCTACAAGCCGTGCGTGCTAAAGATCATTTAATAGTTGAAAATTGAAAAAAAGTCTGTCTTGGTAAAAATTTCCCTCAATCGCACTGCTTGACGTAAACCTTCTTCATTGGACCAATTTGGTGCTGAAAAGTAGGACGTAAAACTCCATTTCATTTCATTTTATTCCCAGCTCTTTCTAGTTTTTTCGTTTATTTATTTTCATTCTTCGAAAGAAATCTAATTTGAAAAATTGTTTTCTCTCAACCATGGAATTAAATTTGTCATTGTTGACCTTTTCCAATAAAACATGTTGTTTTCATTCTGTTATGGGGTCAATCGAACAATAATATTGTGCTATATTTAATTTTATTTAAATATTGAGGTGTATTAGCCCATTAATTTTTAGTAATGACCATTTTAAGTTACATCACGTAGAGTAATCGATAGTACTTATAGTCCGAAACATCTGTCTCTATTCCAGCTACTGATAATTGTCGACTGGAGTACGTTTTATAGGGATTTTGTGCAGGGTTTTAAACATATTTATTTACACTGGTTCCATCAAACCCTAATATATTCTTAAAGATGGGTATTTTTGTAGTTCAGTCATTCCATCATTTTCTCCCTACACTATCTATATCTCGTCTGCGATTCCACCAAGGGTTCTTTTTTACGAAACTGATTTCCCATGGCCATTAAAGACAAAAGTTCAAAGGTAACAAATCGAAAACAGCGATGATGCCCAACACATTGAGATTAGGTGGATCTGAGGTTACAAATAGAATGAAAAAAAACGCACATTCGGAGGTTCGGAAAATTTCCAAAACGAGGCCAAGTTTTTCTGACCTTACTACAGCCGACGCATGTCAAAATAACTATCATATTCTTGAATAGAGGCAGATGTTTCGGACTAACCTCCCGAGTGAGTGAGTGAGTGAGCGAGTTATTGAATGAACGAATGTTAAACAAGCGAAGGGCTGAAACTGAAATAAAAGTTTGTAACTGAAAAAGAAGTTTGCAACTGAAAAAGAAGTTTGTAACTGAAATAGAAGTTTGTAACTGAAACTGAAAAAGAAGTTTGTAACTGAAAAAGAAGTTTGTAACTGAAAAAGAAGTTTGTAACTGAAAAAGAAATTTGTAACTGAAATAGAAGTTTGTTTGTCCTTGGAATTGTTCAGACTAATTGGATGTTACGGTGTCAAATTACCGACTCCCGTGGTATTACCAATAAATCATTTTAGAAAATTAAAATCACTCGTGTAACTATTGTAGAACAGATTTCTATAATCCTGTCTTGACATCACCAACTTGAAGTGAAATTAAAAAATATCAGGGCATCCAGACTCATCTTCACAAAGTCAATCTATTACTAACTACGTCTAATACCTTGACACAGCACTCAACCAACAGCCTAATTGTTGACAGTCTTTCTGTCGGAGACTGATTAACTGTATTCGCTAGCGTACAATTCAATCAAATCGCTTCATTTACTAACGTTCGTGATACAAGAAGGAGGGCTATTGCAGTCAAGGTATAAGACACAGTTCGTAATACTTGGACATTGCGAAGATACACATAGTGTGGTGAAGAAATGCTTAATTTCCTGGAATGCTGAAATTCGTGACTCTTCTGTTATTTCAAATTACCCAATTCTTATCCTCTAATAGAGATTGTTAAGAAGTTTTCTGTTCTGTTTGTGTGAGTTTGGGACACTGAAAGCATCAATTGGGAACAATTTTCAGTCACACATCTGTGTTTCCCGCATTTTCTCTAAACCTGGAGTTTTACCCGTCAATATGGAGTAGGTGCAATATTTTATTATCAGATATTGCGACAGTGGTCCCATTACACATAAAAATTTCGAAATCTTCTTCACAATCCCTTTACAAGCTCACAAATCCTGAAATCATATCAGTTGAACTGTGAGGATATTGTGTAAACACAGTTTATTCAGCATCGTGGTTAAGATTTGTCATGATATAAAAGTCGAATTGGAACATATTGCAGTTACTGACAACAAATTATCACACTGTCATTTCATCGAACGAAAACAATAATTATATCAAGGATAACAAACCAGTCTCTATAATTTAGTGAAGATGAAATGAATGGAGTTTTACGTCCTACTTTTCTGCGCCACATGAGCTAATGAAGGCGGTATAAATCATTAAAGAAGGTCGAGTAGGGGACGCAGAAATGTTATTGTTCGGGGGGCATCAGGTATATAAAAACTCGATGATTTGAAATTCGAAACTTTGGAGAGAGAGGAGTGGTTTGAGTGGTAAAGCCTGCCAAACGTCCTTCAGGGGGAGGGGGGATTGGCTCCCCTTGATAATGACACCCCTTAGAAATACCTGCACTGCAGTTGTTCCTTGGCAATAATCTTTACCAATGACCTGTCTTGTGTAAGTCACGTGATATATTTGCTGCTGAGTCTACTTGGGAATATTAAAGAGATTTAAGACAATGTTTAGAATATAAACTATCTTGATCTAATAATATTATTACTTAGTTTCAATATCTTACAATAATGTAACTTAATAAACATTTAATATATCGTCTTTACATGTTAAACTTCTCCAGGGAATAACAGTCAACTAGAATTAGAAGTTTTCATTTTGTGAACAGACAACTAAACTTCGGCTATTACAGTGTAGACATGCAACTGGTGATTTTTATTTCATTTCTGGGGCGCCTTAAAAAATATGAAAAACTTTTGGTCTTTCTAGATTTGATTTTTCTGTTTGAAGTGCATAACATTGATGTAAATACTTCAGAGATGGTCTCGAAATTTTAATTTCTACAATAAAACCAATATCAATAATACTACCCTCTGAAATATATAAAACCGTGTTTCATTTCAGCGTTGACCAACAGTTTGAATAAAATTAAAACTTCTAAGAACCTCGATTGCCATTTTTCATAAAACCAATATCTCATTTTTTTTAAATTTGAAATTCCGATTTTATTTTAGAATTGACTACAGCATTGGCGCTTTCAACAAACAGCACCTTCAACATATCTTTATAGTTAATCCTTATTTCTGTTCTATTTCAGATCTTTAAACATATAGCACAACACCAACAACAACAGCACCAACACCAACATCAACAGCACCAACACCAACAACATCATCAAGAATAATGGGAGCTAGTATACTGCTAGGTTTAACTATATTATTAAGTTACGTTAATCAAGTTCATTTACAGATGTTTCATCCTCGTGATATTAGTAGGTAAGTAAATTCAAGTCTTTTCACATGCAGTGGTGGCGCCAATGGAAGTACTGTTGAGCCTCTCTCTCTATTTGTACCCTTAGTGGGAGAACAGTTGGGTCTCTCCCTCTATTTGTACCCTTAGTGGGAGAACAGTTGGGTCTCTCCCTCTATTTGTACCCTTAGTGGGAGTACAGTTGGGCCTCTCCCTCTATTTGTACCCTCAGTCGGAGTACAGTTGGGTCTCTCCCTCTATTTGTACCCTTAGTGGGAGTACAGTTGGGCCTCTCCCTCTATTTGTACCCTCAGTCGGAGTACAGTTGGGCCTCTCCCTCTATTTGTACCCTCAGTGGGAGAACAGTTGAGTCTCTCCCTCTATTTGTACCCTCAGTGAGAGAACAGTTGAGTCTCTCCCTTTATTTGTACCCTCAGTGGGAGAACAGTTGAGTCTTTCCCTCTATTTGTACCCTCAGTGGGAGAACAGTTGGGTCTCTCCCTCTATTTGTACCCTCAGTGGGAGAACAGTTGAGCCTCTCCCTCTATTTGTACCCTCAGTGGGAGAACAGTTGAGCCTCTCCCTCTATTTGTACCCTCAGTGGGAGAACAGTTGAGTCTCTCCCTCTATTTGTACCCTCAGTGAGAGAACAGTTGAGTCTCTCCCTTTATTTGTACCCTCAGTGGGAGAACAGTTGAGTCTTTCCCTCTATTTGTACCCTCAGTGGGAGAACAGTTGAGCCTCTCCCTCTATTTGTCCCTCAGTGGGAGAACAGTTGAGCCTCTCCCTCTATTTGTACCCTCAGTGGGAGTACAGTTGGGTCTTTCCCTCTATTTGTACCCTCAGTGGGAGAACAGTTGGGCCTCTCCCTCTATTTGTACCCTTAGTAGGAGAACAGTTGAGTCTTTCCCTCTATTTGTACCCTCAGTGGGAGTACAGTTGGGTCTCTCCCTCTATTTGTACCCTTAGTAGGAGAACAGTTGAGTCTCTCACTCTATTTGTACCCTCAGTGGGAGAACAGTTTGGTCTCTCCCTCTATTTGTACCCTCAGTGGGAGTACAGTTGGGCCTCTCCCTCTATTTGTGCCCTCAGTGGGAGTACAGTTGGGCCTCTCCCTCTATTTGTGCCCTCAGTGGGAGAACAGTTGAGCCTCTCCCTCTATTTGTGCCCTTAGTGGGAGAACAGTTGAGCCTCTCCCTCTATTTGTGCCCTCAGTGGGAGTACAGTTGGGCCTCTCCCTCTATTTGTGCCCTCAGTGGGAGAACAGTTGAGCCTCTCCCTCTATTTGTACCCTCAGTGGGAGAACAGTTGAGTCTTTCCCTCTATTTGTACCCTCAGTGGGAGAACAGTTGAGTCTCTCCCTTTATTTGTACCCTCAGTGGGAGAACAGTTGAGTCTTTCCCTCTATTTGTACCCTCGTGGGAGTACAGTTGGGCCTCTCCCTCTATTTGTACCCTCAGTGGGCGTACAGTTGAGCCTCTCCCTCTATTTGTGCCCTCAGTGGGAGAACAGTTGAGCCTCTCCCTCTATTTGTCCCTCAGTGGGAGAACAGTTGAGTCTCTCCCTCTATTT